AATGGTTAAATGAGCTTTGGACCTTAAATCCTACTAAATAAGAGTCTTTTTGAAATGCTTCAGACTGTATTGTTAGTACATTTATAAGTTTCTTTAGAAAGCACACAATACGTTACCAGGATCAACAAACGGTGTCTAGAAAATAAGCAACCATTTAACCAGCAACCAGAAAGATGGTAAACTTATATAAAGATAGCAGAAAACTAGGGGAAAATGCTTCCGAATGGTTAGTTGTGCTCCACTTCTGATTTTATTTCACTGATACCTGAAGCATACTAAAAGTTTTAGCGATGCTGGCAGTCGGATTAGAGGAAACTGACATTTGAAGAAAGATTTCAATTGTTTTTTAAAACTTCACTCCTAATTATTTTTGAAAGCACAAATTTAAAGGAATGAATTTATAGAAGAGTGATTTATTTTTTCGTATTTATCGATCATCTCTTTTGAGATATGAGGTAAAGTAATTAGCTCGCTTGATTATGATATGATATATATATAGCAGCAAATAATATATGAATATGGAGAAACAAAGACATATATTGCTTAATAAACGAAGCATTATTTGTATTTCCAAGTTAGAAGTATATTGATTTTGTTATGAAAAGTAGCCCTTTGTTTTATAATCACAATGTTTAATAATACCACTGTATTTTTGAATGTGCAGCAAATAAGCGCTTAGTCTTAAGGTTGTGAAATTACAAGTTACAAGTCAACTGTAGAGGTTGAGTAAACTAGATGTGATTGATTTATTTAGAAAATTTTGGAAAAGTGAACAATTTGGTTCTGAAAATCAGCACTGAATCTTTGATTTGTAACTAATATTTCCTTTTTTTAATATCATCCAGGATAAATTTTAAATCGTTCTGGTGTATTGCAAAAGATAGGTTTGTTCCACTTCATACCCTGCATATAGTTTATTCAAAATATCATCACGCTTTTATTTATTTTACTATTGAAAATTTCGCAATCGAATACGAAAATAGCGGAACTGGAAAAACGGTAGACAACCACCATTAATGCCAAAATTCCACGCTCCATTCCATCAGGAATATCAGCATAAGTACGGTTAATGTAAAACTGTTTTGAATGACATATTTTGCGAGAAAATAAGGAAGTTTTAATTTAAATTTATGGAAAATGAAAGGAAATGAGGGAATGGAAAAAGAAGACCATCCTGATTCCATTTTTCCAAACTTGATATATGGTAGGGGACCGCAATAAAATAAATTCAGGACCGATTTTCAGGTGATCGAAATCATTCTGATTGTCACTGCCGTCTTATCATGAATACATATGAAGTCTAGAAAGCTAATGTTAGTGAAATTACACGTCACACGATGATCGGTTCTGAACACCGTTGGTTTGTGGATGTTCATATTTCAGCATTTTCTAGTGATTCATATTAGCTTTTATAATCCAGAATTATAAAATTATCCACAGTTTACGACAGCAGAATTTCAATTTCTAAACTTAAGTTTCAAATAAGTTTGAGACGTCAGTTTAAAATTTTACCTTTCCACCCGAGATTAATGAAGCCAAATTGTATTGAAAATGCTGTCAGTGATGACATTCACATGTTAAACTGTTTAACGGCGCACACAAATATGACTAAAGTCATCATTCAGCTTGATGGTATGGATTAGTTTCTCAAATTTCCTCAGAATCCGTGAAAAGATAATTGATGAGAAAAGTGTAGAAAGTGCATGTCACTACAGCCTGGGATGAGTTCAGCTAATGGGATATATGTTACAGTCTAGGAAGAATACTATCTTGAATATCTTTGGTCATTTTCGATTGGTGAGGAGCTAGTATCAATTACGCAAATGATGAAAAGGGACAAGAGAAGTGAGAATGTCATGCAGAAATTATCCACTTAGCTGTAAGGAGCTACCGATATCGATTAAAATGAGGCTTCAGGCCTGGAGCTATGCAATTATAATTCTGATGGTATGTATTTTTCCATGCATAAATTCCATTTGGTTACTGGAATGAAGAATGATTCGGATGAAAAGCATTTATTAGTTAACTGAAGGAGACGTGAATGCGTGAGAGGAAACTTGAAGGAAGTCATAAATTGATAAATGACATAATGCTATCAATGTAATTGTTTTTTTTCTCTTTAAATTTAGTTTCTCCTGAACTTCTTTTTTTTCGGGGTCTTTTTTATTTCTTTGATAGTAAAAGGATGTTTGGGAGATGATATTTATTTGTTGATTTATTGTTGAAGTTGAACAGTTAGTTTCAATTTTTTCTTATGGACATTTCTACGACGACGACTTTAATGTAATGAGTTCATTGAATTGTTTCACGGAGCAGTAATGATGTCATAAACTGTACAGTGACACTGCCACTGTTCGGCCCCTTCTTCCGTTGAATTGATGAGAAAGAGTTAGGGTTTTACTGGTGATCTATTACGTTCTCCAAAAGGAGCAATTTAAACCGGAAATGGAACGAGTGCAGTTGGTATTCGAAAAAATAGGTATATAATACTTCATTTGCAATCCCGTGTCTACAGCTTATCTTTTACCATCTCCTTCTACTCCAAAGTCGAAAGAATTGATTGCATAAGTAGAACGATTTCTGGTTATAAACACCCCTATTGCTGATGGCAGAAAAACTCAGGTAAGATTGATGGTCAATTGGGTTGTTCGATGTAGTAATAATGTTTCATTCTTTTTTCTCGACTTTCACAAACATCCAATCGGAATTTTGCACATTTCTAACCGTTCTAATGATATATCGGGATGGAAGCAGAATTCCATAATGGGAAAGTAGTGGAAATGTGAAGAGAAATAAGGGGAAGGAGACTTAAGAAAGATAACTAACAGAATTTGCTGTGCTTGTTGCCAGCTTTTTTCACTCCTTTTTATGTTCAAATTATAGTCTTTTTTTGAGCAGTAACATTTCAGCTTATTCCCTTCTATTTATTTTCAATTTAATGTTAGTATTTTTTTTTGTAAATTTTGAAAAAAAACTTTGAACTTTTATCACTTTTCCCGCTGTAGTTGTGTAAGTAAGAGTAAAGGACGACCTACACCACTTAGTACTAGAGGATTTCAATAAATCTCAATGCTCATATTTCGAAAATTTCATTAGCTGTTTCTCGCTTTCGTGATGAAGATGCTGCAGTGTTACGTTCTCCACGTTCTATATTATTAATTCTTGCCCTTCTCTTTTATCATACAATGACATAGAGTAAATTATTCGCGGAATTCACTGAGTAGTAAAATGGGTGATGGAGAATAGGTAATTCAACATTCTTTTCGGCACTCTTATGATTGTTCTCAGTAATTCTAATTGATCAGATTTAATTTGAGGCGAGAAATGTCTTTCGTATAATCATATCACCAATGTCTTTCATAGTAATTGAGATTTAAAGGAAGAAATGATTCGCTTGAAATGTGCACATATTAATTTATTACATGCCATTACATCCAGGACCACCACAGACAGATGCGAATTTTCCTATGGGCCTTATATAAAAATAAATAAATTAATTACATAAATAAATAATGTATAAGTTTTTGATATGCGCAACCCTAACAGCACCGTAAAGAGCATGTCGCCAATTAATCTGTTCATCAACTCAGAAATTTCCCATTCAATCGGAAGTGACGTATGTGCAAAATGTTGCCACTTTTCCATCAATCAAATACAAAGTTTTGATATATAAAGAGACCTAAGATATTTCCAGAACTGCACTGTCTGTCATTTCTTGGATTATTTCTCAATGACAAATATCTCCGTACTTTTCCTACCCTAATTCATTATTTGAAACCACTAACATT